TGGTCCACACTTCAAGTCCCTGTTCAGAGCCATGATTGCAGTCTTTTTGAACCATTCATTTTCAGAATCGGAATCAGAATCAGAAATACTTGATACTTATTGATCCCCAGGGAGAAATTTGTTTTTACCTCCGCTTACAATCTTACCACCACATTTTAGCTCATAATTAATCATGGATGAATGAGTGCGTTATGATCATGAATGCTGACCATGCAGGTTGATACTGAAATAAAATATTATAGTAAAGCTAAACTTAAATTACATATCAGCAATCTAGTATTATATGTTTTTACGTTTCATTTCATACAAATATTTTATTTGATTTGATTTAGCTGAATATTGTTACAAACATCTTATTCAATGAAGCAGCTGTTTGTGTAATAATTTTAGAGACAATACTATGCAATGTTTATTCAGTGCTACTTGGATCTTTGCCCATGTTAGCTGATCTACATAACAGCAATGAAAAACCCCAAATCAGTGCAGCGGGATTGAGAATTGTTCGTGACGGTTGTTCTTCTTTACTCACTGCTGTGACAATGTAAGGAACCCCACTGTCATGTCAACACACCGCCATCAGAACTGAACTGTGAGTGAGTGGGAGGCGAGGAGCAGACGGGAACATTTGGTGTCTGATTTTGCAGAAGACACGAGTAAACCCCACAAGCTGCTGCTGAATGTTTGCCAGTGATACTGCATTGGCTACTGTTGAATCTTTAATAGTCTAACAGTAGTGTGATGTCATTGCCTCAGTGCTCCAGTTTGCTTGCTCCTATTTTCTCCCTCCACTATATTTATCATACAACCCACCCATTCTCAGGAAAGGGCATTTAAGGTGGTAAAGACGGGGGGCTGTAAAGGAGGCTTAACCACTGTAGGCTGTGATTGCATCTGTGCCAGATCTGGATTTAGACTCCATCATACATCCATTCGGTATATTCCTCTCGATTTCTGTCATAATGTAGAGGAGCAGCCATGCCTGAAGCCTTTCAAGGTGGTGCAGAAGTCGTAAAGGATTTTGTCTTCACTGAATGGCAAATGATTCACCTGTTGAATTGGGAAAAAATGGTTCAAATCCAATCTGATAATGGGTGTCAGAGTGCTGCTGGTTTCTCTGGTGATGGAGGTCAAAACAGGGTGAAGTCTGACCGTGAGTGAAGGCTCACAGGTACAGAGTCTTTTTTTAGTTCAGCCAGCAGAGCCAAAAAACATTTTTTTCCACCTTACATTATAGTGGAAAATTTTTTAATTTAGATTGACGGTGAAGGAACTGTAAAGCATGTTATTCTGGGTGTGATGGAAGTTGATAAAACAGGAACTGGTGTTGCTAGAATGGACGAGAAAAAACATCAAAGAAAAAGCTGTTATCCAAATGTCTGTTAGCACTGCTCCTGTTGTCTCATTACAATCTGTTTTCCTTTGTAAAGTTTTAGCATCTTGTTGGCCCAACGGCTCATTTACCCTTCACTGATTAATTAAGGCAATTGATTGGCTGGAATAATCGCTTCGCTGGATAACCATGCCCTAATTAGGAGTTAATTGAAAAGTATCAATGACTAAAGCAGTGCCTGGGCAGATGTAGACCGGAACATTATGGAAATTGAGGAAATCTAAACTGTTTTTCTTTCATTTCTCTTACTTCCTTTTCTTTCATTCTCATTGTGCTCTATTCCAGCTGGTGGAGTGCCAGAGAAGGAAAAGGAGGATAAATTATACCCCCATGGGGCTCAGAGACCACCAATAGAAGTCCAACTTGTAGTATATTCTCAGAAAAGCAAATGAAGGCAGCTCGATCTCAGCCCTCTTGACTGATATTACTCACTGCGGTGTAGCCTACGCTGCGAATTCACCTTATAACTGAATTTTAGTCGTTAACAAGTGGTCAAATTTCTTCTGCAAATATAAATGTAAGTGAGTTCAGGAGGGTTGATCCTCCTCTACATCCCTGAACTCTCATCATCTGACACTAGCCTTCACTATATACTTCAGTATTATTATATACACAGTATTATTCACTGCGTTTTCATATTTCACTAATTATTACATTTCAGGGCCACTTAATATTTTAATTAGGAACTACAGTACATGAAACTGTTAATGCACTCGC